TATAAAAATTTAGTTTTTTCCCTCACTTTTTTTTTTAGTCTGTGATGGGTATAAAAGATTCGTTCACAACTCAATATAATTTTCTTAGTTGTTTTACTCTCTATCGTTGCTTGATCACTTCTATCTGAAAAAAAAAAAAATAAACAACAACAAATTTTTAAGGAAATATAAGATAATATTAAAACGAAAATTTCGATTATAGCACTAAGCCATACTCATCAGATGTTAGCTAAACAATTTGTATATCCTTGAGATCAGAATCGATCGTGATGTCTGTCTGTCTGCTTGTTCTTTACATATTTCGTGAACTCGGCAAAAGCGGGGAAAATGTGATAGAAACGAGCATTACTACATTTTCTGAACAAAGTCTGAAAAGCCACAATACACAAGATAAGCTAAAATTCGTAAACCACAAAAAAAAAAAAAAAACAAAAAAAAAAAAGAAAGAAAAAAGAAAAGTTAAATCATAAAAATTATGTTTTATGTAGTGTCTTGGGTTAATGCACGTTTATATACATATATTTTTCTTTTTTCTAAGAGTTGATATGTAATTGAGTTAAAGTAAATCATAAATATTTTATTTAAATAAAAAAATAGTTGTGCCTACATTAGTATTAGAAGACAAATTATAAAATAAAAAAAATATTTATAGAAAATTAAACAAACAAAAAGAATTATTTAAAAACAAAAAAAAAAAAGCAAAAAAAAAAAACAAACAAATAAAATGAAACAAAAGATTTAGAAGAAACGTGAGAAGCCTTTTAGAATGCAAATATGTATACAAGCAAATAAGAAAATCAATTTTCGCACACACACACATCTATATATACATATTCAAGCATCCGTATATAGGTATACAGATAGATAGATAGATAGATAGATAGATAGATAGATAGATAGATAGATACATAACATACATGCCTAGACTTATATGATTAATGAAAATTAATAAATAAATAAATAAATATATAAATAAATAAAAACTAATATATATTTTTGCTTGTTAAGAGAAAATTATAATTTGAGTAAATAACAAAAAATATTAAAAAAAAAAAATTTAATAATATTATTAATTAATTAATATTAATAAGTAAAAAAAAGAAATTAACCACAAAAAATGTACTGCATTAAAAACAATGAAATTATATATATATATATATATATATATATATATATATATGTATAAATATAAATAATAAACAAAACAAAAAATTAAAAGAAAGCAAGTTATAATGTGAACCTGGAAATGTATTAATACATTAGAGTTAAAATACCATTCCGTAGTATGTATATGTAAAAAAAATATATATAGTAAGAAAAACAAAAAATTATTAATAAAAATAAAAAAAAAATGCAAAGAAAAAAAAAACATATGCAAATAAATAAGGATAAGGAAAAGAGATGAATGAATTCATCATATTCATCAACAATAAAAATGTACTGCAAATTGCAATGAATAAAGACACACACATACACCTATAAATATGAATTGCATTCATTAACTTGATTAATGTATTGTTTATAAAAACTTTTCTTTTTTTTTCTTTTTGTGTATTTACCTTTGTTTTGTTTGTTGAAAACGCCTGTGACGCGCACACAACGAATGAACAAGTGATGTATTTCTTTTGTTTATCTTTTATTCCGTGCCATTCTTTCAATGGTGCGACAAATCGTTTCATTATCAGCTTTTATGCAAAGTTCACGTGAGAATATAAAACATGGATTTATCTATGAATTCATTGAATATCAATAAATGATTTGTTTACGTTTGAGAATTTTTCATATGATATCCGATTATAAATCTTATTCTTGTCCAAAGTTAAAAGAGACTCAGCTCAATTCAGGCTAAGACCAGTTGAAGTGATCAAGCAAATATATATATATATATATATATATGTATGTGTAGGGTGTTTCAAAATTTTCGCAAGATTAATAACTAAATAGAGACAAATAAAAATATTATAGTCGGGCAAGAACGTCTATTAAATATATCCTATGTCACTCCGCCCAGTACAATTATTCGTTCATTTTGATAATAAGACACCAAAAATTACATACTATTTTCATGCAAAGACACGAAAGCGTGCATATTCAAGGCTGTCGGAAACATCAGATGAAGCCATCGAAACTTCAAACTTACAAAGTTCATTTACTTCTTAAAAATTTAATCATTTTTCACTTTCCTTTATAAAAAAGACTAGAAAATCAACTTTCTTTTCATATAAGGGCTGGTCTCTCATGATATATATATATATATATATATATATATATATGTTGAAGTCTATAAAATAGATCTGTCTGATTCATATTCCGTATCGTTAATGTTTTTTTGCTCAATTGCTACTACGGACTATTTATCATCACAAAATATCAACAAAAAAAAAGGAAGCTTTTACTAAAGGGCTTACTATTCGTGGGAAATCTTAGATGGAATGGATGGTGCATGGATAGTCCATGTGGTTCAAATTTGGTACAATTAATTTTTATTTCAAATTACTATCATGAACAACTTTTCGTAATAAACAACAACAAATACGCCTTTTTGCCATGTAAAAGTTTATATATCCTGAGAATTTTTATATTCAGTTATACCCAAAAAACTAGACGTACGTGATAAAAATTTGGTAACGTTAATTGTTTTGCTAATTTACTGTTATCAGTCAATTTTCACCATGAGATATTGAAAATTAGACCTTCGTAACATATAATGATTCAGTTTTCGTAGGAGCGTTGCGAAAATTGATCCAACCGATCCAAAGTTTTAGCAACGTTTTAGCAAAGTTTTATTCAACGACTCTTTTTTTTATTTGATATTTTTCCATATAATGCGATTTCACAATAGGGAATGATCGAAAAAGTGAGCCGATCTGAACCATTCTCAATAGCGTTCGTCGGTTGTGTTCACAAAAAATGACTAGACAGGCGTAAGACGGACAGATAATCTTAGATCGGTATAATAAAAATTGGAACAATCCTAATGGTGTTACACACATCCGTACAACTTAATATACTCTGCACCGCATATGGTGTAGGGTAAAAACAGTTTTTTTTTTTTTTTGTTGTTTTTTCAATTACGTTCTTTTAATTGAATCAAAATGTACATATGATTGGATTATGTGTGAAAGAGTATGTCGGATAAATGGCCTCCACGGCTTTGAAGCATCGTTGAATCTGGTCCTTAGACCTTTAACTTCAAATAAGCTTGCAAAAAGGAATCCAGTGATCCAAAACCATGATCTAAAAAGTCAATTGGGGGCAATGAAACGGGAGAGTACATGACCAGGAAATGTTTCATCCAACAATTGAATTGTTGCACGGGATGTCTTCCATGCGGCATCTTGTTCAACAATGAAGATTCGTTTCTGTCTCGTGCAATGCTCCATTTTTACTAACTCTAAACTGCCAAACTGTGTGTTTTTTTTTTTGGGTTACCAGCGCTTGGTGCACGGCACAAATGGCGGCAAACTCAAATCTTTCGTAATTATTGGTCATCCTTTATATTATATACATATATATTTAAAAGCCCAAACACTCACACTCATTCGTGTAACGTGGCGCCATTTAAACAGAAGAAGAGGTAAGGAAAGGGAAGGTGGCTGCAGCCTAGTGGGTTTGTGTGCAAAGAGACTCTACTAACAAATCAATGGTCGTGAGTGCAAATCTTAAGTGCAATAGAGTTTTCAATAAAGCCGACAGTCCAATATGATGCTAGTGCTTTAAGACTTTACTTTACTCTTCGAATTTATCAAATCAAACTAAATTAATAATAATATTAACAATAATAATAATTTTGGAAATTAATAATAATAAAAAAATCATTCACAAGGAAAATAATCTTCAATTTGGATTTTTTCCCTTTCAATTCAAGTGTTACAAATATCTAATGGAATGTGAAATATCCGTAATCTATATAGATTGTCGATTGTAAACAATTAAAGCAACATGTAATATTTCATTAGTTGAATTAATTACTTTCCTTATTATAAATAAGTTAAATAAATAATACTGGAAACGAAATAAAGCAAAAAAATTGATTAATTATGTAGACATATATAATATAAAAAAAATCGCATTTATATATGTATATATATAAATCAAATTATAAGGACTTAAGAATTTTTGAACGTTTGTTCCTGATTCTATCTATGAAAATAAGCAGGGAATCGATTGTTTTACGAATTGAAAAGACCTCGAGTAGGACTTTTTATAAAAAAAATTTTTTTTTTTTTTATTGCCCTAAGCTCAATCAAGAAAAAGCATAAAAGAATCTATTGAAAAATAAGTTTTCATCCACCTTATTGACATTACTTAGAGGAAGGGTTATTAGTCAATGATGGGAAAAAAGTTTTCCCAATATGCAAAAAGATTCGATAGCATGATTTGCTAGCACGTGATTGCATCATCATATTTTTCTGATCTATTCAAGTAAAAAGAGGTTCTAAATATCATTTATTGCCATCAATTCATAACAATCTTCCTAAACATCGCATTACCTCAAAAATATTTATTTAATTTTTTTTCTGAACAATACATACGAAGTAACTGGCGGCCAGTTGAACGCCAATCTTTAGTAATAGTCAACTAGAAGGCAATCTCGGACAGTATATTTAATGCATGGATTTGACTCGAGAAATTTGCATTTATCTACCATTGGTATATTGATAAAAAGTTATTTAAACTTATACGATATTAGTCATAAAATGTATTGAATTATATGAGGAATAAGTGTCCGTTATTAGAAAGAAAGTTGGAACAAGCCGTACAGCCCCTTAGTTCGAAGTATGATCGATTTAATATTTTAAAAGACTTGATGTAAAACTTCAAAAACGTCCAAGAACTGAGTACACTCGGCTCATTGCCTTAAAGATAACCCGGATAAATGTGTTTTCCCATCGCACTTCATGATTTCCCATTGCAATATTTGCTTACCTTAGTTGCTTTGCTTAACAATTAAAAACTATTGCGATGCCCCGTTAATTTGATTTTAAAATGCGTTCAAATATGTATGTAGAAATAGTTTTTATTAACTAAAACTTCAATGACGTTAATATAGAGATACACAGTGATGGAAATTATTAAAGACACTATAGAATAATCAAATAATTGTTCAACACTACGAAATTACAAATTTGGCAGCGAATTCAATCAATTACAGTAAATCTATTTATAACTCTTTGTTGTACTGTTTGCTGCTCGAATTTTACTTTTAATCAATTAAGTTTAAGCTTCCATTTTCTTCTCTTGACATTCAGTCCAAGTTTTTGCAATCATTTGTTTAGTTTTTGAATCTCCTTGCACATACAATTTCTTCATGATTTTGAAAAGAGCATCCTGAGGATCTTCCTTATCTGGCATCAAATCCTGATTTTGCATATCCTTAAGGCGTTTTTGTATTGTCGTGAGACTTGGCCAAGTCTTTCCATCTTCGGCTTTCTTTAAGTAAATCGCTACTAAGCCATTTTTGATTTTTCTATAGCTTTTTACAACATCAATAGGTTCAAGCAAATTGTTTACAATTAAACCATAATCTTTATCATTTAAATTGTTTACATGCAAATTCATTGATCTTTCGGTGAATTTAACAACTACAGCTGATTCATCAAGATTTTGGACACCGTCCAATGAAACAAATAATTTCACAAATTTATCACTTTGATCCCAAGCATATTCAGTAAGTTCGGTGATATATCTATATATACAAATAATAAAGCAAATGTAACAACACCAACAACAGCATAAATGCTAGTTAATCAATACAAATGACGTCTTATAGAATGTACTAGAAATTCGTCTATATTTACCTTTTGGCTTGAACATGCTTTCGCTCTTCGGCATGCTTAGCTTTCATTTCCAAATTAACTACCTCCCTATCGATTTCCGCTTTAGCCCCAACTAAAGCATCTTTGACACGTTTTCGCGTGGCTTCACCGATGAATTTCGTTAATTCCTCTGAATCTTTTCTTAACTGTAAACAATAATAATTCTTATATGACATATAGAATAATTATCGCCACAAACAAACCTCTTCGATACTCATAATTAAAATTTTTATTTTTCCTTTAAAACAAAAGCAAGCCTATTCCAACTTCTTGGACAGTTCAGATTTGTATTATCAAATTTTTCAAGCAATGCGGTCCTTTTATATTTATTGGAATAAATCTTATTATTGAAGTATTGCCAATACTCTTGCAATTACCCTATTATAGGGTTAAAAATATTTTTAATGGTTATAAACATTCACTGGGATTGGTATTCCGCATTTACAGTTGATATATTGAAAAAGATTCGCTTAGTTATTGAGTGAAATTCTTGCATTCTACTTTTAGAAAATTAATATAAATTTCAAATTAATTTTAGGAGCATTTTTTTTCCTCTTCAATTAAACCAGTATCGTATTTTGTGCAGCGAATTTTGCATTATTTTTAAATTTTAGAAAAGTGAATAGCAAAGAGCAAATAAACTAAAATGTCGTTACGATATGCACATAATTGATACAATTAGTAGATATAGAGACTATCTAGGTGTTAACCACACGTAGTTGAAAGCTAAGTATCACTTTTGCCAAATCGTTGAATGCAAAAGCGAAAGTTAAATTTTTCATACGTGATTACCCGCACAGCAGTGCAAGTGTTTGCAAGTTTCATCATTTCAACAAAAAAGGAACGGACTCTTTTTCCATTCAATAGAAACTTCAATCTTTCTTTTAAAATGCTTCTTGTTCGTTCATTTATTTGATCCGCGCAAGGCGCTCAAATGAAGTTTAAGGCGTCACGTCAGTAAAGGATAATTTGAATCCTCTGCACAATTACATTATATATGCTATATATGTTCAGATTTCTATATTATCAATTATATGTAGATACGTAATCCCGAAATGAATCATATATTTTCTGTTCATATGGTATTATAATACTATATTTCAATTCTTACTATTATATTAATATCATCATATATGACTATAACATAAGAAAAAATAATTCAATGTAAGTTTTATATGCAAATTCAATATTGATCTGACAATACAGAACAATACAATTAAGTACAATCTCTCATATCTGTGAAATTTCGGAAAATCAAATTGCCACGCTATATGCTCTATGGTTCCTACAGTAATCGCACTACTTCGTTAAGTATAACATACAGTAACAATTTTCTAAATTTCTTAAGCTAAATAGATAGATTCCGCAAAGCACAATATGCGTTTTGTAATATTTTCAATGTAAATACTCAAAGTAACATTTTTTTCTTTAAATAACTAAGTTTGTGGGAATCAATAATAATCTCTTAAGATATAATTAGATATTAGGAAAGTTGGTACGCTTGCAAAAATGTTGCCAAGCCTGAATGTAACTAATAAGTTTTGTGCAGTGATAATTCTACTTTCTTACTACAAATAAATTATGGCTGGTTATGTCTTTGTTGGGGAATCTTTTCATTATTATGAGCGTTGTTGCGTCAATATTTTGACAAACAACGATTTAAGCACATCACAAGTTTATATATAAGAAAAAAGTCTTGAAAACTGCACTTATTATGAGCTACCTCTACCTGAGAGCTGATTTTAAGTTGCGTGTCTTTTGCCGACGGCTTTTGTTAAGTTGGTCCGTTAGATAATGATATTTTACAGAGTTGGTCCGTTAGATAATGTTATTTTACAGAGTTGGTCCGTTAAATAATGTTATTTTACAGAGTTGGTCCGTTAGATAATGTTAAGTTTTTGTTTTGCCGACGGCTTTTGTTAATTTGGTCCGTTAGCTAATGTTAATTCTAATGTTGGTTCGTTATTTTCGGCATTTAACATAGCTGATTGGCATTAACATTTAAGTTGTTAAGTTGGGCTTTTAACCATTTATATATATTATAAGCGACTCTGTGCTTTGCCTTTCAACAGGGAATTTAGCGAGGGCGTTGTTTAATTTGATAATAAAAAAAAATATTATGGCGATCTACTTTTAGGCTAACTTGTAAAATTAAATAAGTTCGCGTATTTTCCAAAACACTATATATACATCTAGAGATGATGATAGAAGAGGAGATGGTGGAAGAGCAAAGGCGACCAAGTCAATGAAAAAGAATGAATATATATAACACACTAAATACCAAATGACGAATAATTCCCGAATGTAAGGGAAAATGGCAAAATCCATTATATATTGGGTAAATGAAATTAAAATTTTTATTTGTATTTTTTGCGTCGTTAAGCCAAATTTGTAACTGTATGACATTTACTTTTTTTAGTTTTTACTTAGAGAAAGTAAAATCAATTTAAATGAATTCGTTAAATTTGTCACTGTTAATTGAAGAGGTATCCAAATATCGACGTTTTTTTTTTTTGTGTCGAATCTTAAGCTAAGTTAAACGATTTAAAAGAGTTTTTTGTAAAAATATTTACTTCCGTTGCGATGTTAAAAGATGAAATATTCCGATCGCTTTTAATATTTTGAAGAATATCAACGAACTCATTCGCAATTGATTGTCCAGACCGTGGGGCACTTTTTTGACATCGAAATTTCTAGAACTGAAAAAAGCAAACCTTTACTAAATAGATTATAGAAGCAAAAATTAATCTTTCATACAAATTAAATCTATATTAATATAGTGTTAGTAATAAAGAAACAATCATACTTACGTAGTTAGCAGTCCTTAATGTTTCATATCCGAAACATCCGAACAATGCTGTAAGACATTTTACAATACATTTACAATACTAACAAGTGAGAAATCTCATCTATCCAGAACTTGGCTATTCAGGCACTGTAACATAGCCTATAGAATGTACAGATTTTTGTTGTTTTAATATGTAATGAGTAACAAGCATATTTTTTTTTTTTTACCAGAGTTGTCCTCAGTTTACGTTGTACTATGGGTGTGCTGTTTCACCGATCTGATTCATTTCCAATATTTTCATCAAATTTGAAATCGAAATTGCTATAATTTTTGTGACCAACGGAAAGACAAGCGGAGCTACGGACACATGCATCCAAGTGATTATAAAAAAAAAAAAAAAAAAAAAAAAAAAAACGAAAATCTTACAAGTGAACAATTCTCCCTTTGATTATTAATATTCTTCATTTAGCTAAATAATCTCTTATTCAAATGATAGCCAGGCTTAAGAGTTTCTGCCTGACATAACAAAGGTTTATCGTAAGTAGCAGTAACAAGACTAGCTAGTAACCGATATACTACGGTGTGCATTCACATGTCCATAAATTCCTAAATTTTTATACGCGTTTGTTAAAACTGAACTATACTTAATATATTTTGATGGAAATAAATGAAAGGTTGATGGATCTCTTATCCAGAATATATTCTTCTCATCGGATTTCTAAATAATAAACGATCAGAAACTATCAGAAATTAAAATCTATATAAGGATTGTAACAGACGCAAAATCCAATCCAAAATGTATATTAATTTTGCCAATAAATCTTCAGAAATAATATAATCATTATATCTAATATTATTATTATTATTATTATTATTATTATTATTATAACAATAATTTGTTTGGACGACAGAAAAAAATATTCGAAGGTTGAGCGTAAGGAGCCAAAATTATTGGCTTTTTTTCTTTTTAAAAGGTAGACTGGATGGTTAGCGATATAGAAAAGATTGCTTGGGTAGTGGAACTTGATGCACGTTGGTACCGTAAATGAGCTTAATGGACGAGAATGTATGGCCACAGCGCAGTGTAAAGCAAGAATATTGCTATTTTGCTCGTCATTACCGAAAGTGGACCAATAAATATTTGATATTAATATAATATAATGGTGAGGGTATACAAGATTCAATCATATCCGAATATAATTTGCTTACACGTTTTTATACCCACCACTCTAAGATAAGGCTGGGTAAACTCATTTTCTATTTTTCCATAATATGTATATGTAACACTCAAAGTCAAGCTTCAGAGACCTTATAAAGTAGATATATTCTTTATCAATCGAGGTAATTGCTAATCGATTGGTTTTTGAGCACCGAGTCGTTGATTTGTTTGACATGACTTTTATGTTGGAGGTTGATGGACCCAAAGCCCGAAAACATAATTAAACAAAAATTACTGGATTCAAAATTATCTTCCACCTATTATTTCATTTAAATTAAAGCTTATTTGAAAAGATCTCTGTATACATATAAAATATATTATTTGGCGATATAATTTAAAAGCCAGACTAGAATAACTCCTAATTGTTTCTTTCAACAAATCGCATTGCATAATGTGGTCGCATAATTTGTAGGTGTTAAACAATTGGTTGTGTTTACCCAATCGCTCAAAGTTTATTTATTAAAATGAAAACTTATTCGTTTGTGTCTCAATGTTGTTCGTTTTCGTAAATTTTAAAAATCTAAGTAAATTATAAGTGCAAGCAGCTGAGAATATTATAGTCGGTTGCGACCTAATCTTTCATACCCATCTCTGTTACGTTATTACAGATTGAAAAAAAAGGAAAAATATAAATTTGCATATTCAATAATATTGGGTGGGCGTGGCCGATTTTAAATATTCTTATCGAATAATTTCGTGCAGTTATAAGTTAATAAGTAAAAGAGATGAAAAGCACGGGTTTTCTCAGTTTCGATTGTTGGGACGTGTGCCGATATAGGCACACGAGTTTTTTTGATCTGCTTCTGTCATTTGTAAACTCTTGCCCTAATTTATAGATGATATCATCTTTCTTTTTTTTTTCTTTCTTTTGCGAACGGGAGAATATTTATGACAGATATTATACAATTGGGCAGATGGCCAGATGGATAAGCGAAAAGACATTCCAAATTTGATACTGGCCAAGAATTTATACATTTTTATACAGTTTTCGAAGTTTGCTTTTTGTTTGCGTTATATGAAGGCATCGAAAAACAATTAAGTTTTTATACACTATAATATTGGCTAGGCGTGGTCAAGTTTTCCCATTTTTGTACAAGTACTACAGCATCGCCCATAGAATATGCATCCAAAGTTTTCTATATTTATCCGATATAGTTTATGAGCAGAAAGCGGGGAATAGAAAAACCGACTTGAAAAGCAGAGTTGTTTTCAATTTACTTTGTACTGTTTGTTAGCGTATCCTTTGACCTTTGATTTGCACCATTTGCAATAGCAACCCGCGCGCGACCACTTGCAATGTGTGTGCAAAAATTTGAAGTTGATAGATGATGTTTGTTCCGGCT